ATATATATATATATATATAAAATTGATTTATTGGGGTGACATTGGCTCACAAAACCATACAGGTTTCAAGTGTACAACTCAGTAAGACATCGTCTGTACACTGCATGGTGTGCCCATCCCCCCAAGCAAAGTCTCTTTCGGTCCCCATTGCCCCCCACTTGGCCCACCTTCGCCTAGCCCCAGCCCCCTTTCCCTCTGCTTTCACCACACTGTTGGCTGTGTCTGTGTGTTATTTATATATGACTTTCGGTGAATCCCTTCACCTTCTTTCATCCAGTCCCTCTCTTCCCCCCTCCCCTTTGGCAGCTGTCAGTCTGTTCCATGTATCCATACCTCTGTTTCTGTTTTGTCTGTAAGTTTATTTTGTTCATTAGATTCCACCTATAAGTTAGATCATATGGTATTTGTCTTTCTCTGAGCCAGGAATTAGCTTTAACAAGGCATCCTAGCTGGCTAGATTACTAGAAAATCTTGAGGAGAAATCTTGAGAAAATTTCTAAGATTAAATCCCAGCGTCCTCCCCTTCTTCTTTCTCAACTTTGACAAAAAAAAGTTTAAGTTTTAGCTAGACTTCTTTTCTACCCAAAGCTAATCACTTATTTTAGCTGATATTTCAGGGATTTGCTATATTTATTGATTATATTGGCTTCTGATCCCAACTAGTCGAGTCAAAAGAAAATTGGTGATTCAGGTGTTCTATTCAGACAATATGCTCAGAGACTTTCCTTGGTTTTACTGTAGATTCAGAAATAAATACATTGCAATTTATTATTTGACAAGTATGTAGGAATCAAGATGATATGTTGATGTGTTCTTTCGACTTTGCATTATCCTTTTTTGTAGGCGTGAATGGAAACAGGTGCTCTGAATCGTCGACTCTTCTCGAGAAATACAAAATTGGAAAGGTTATTGGTGATGGCAATTTTGCAGTCGTCAAAGAGTGCATGGACAGGTGAGTGGATGGTGAGGGTAGTCATTCTTCCCCCTACACGTGCATTTCTCCTTGGAGTTTATTCTTACCTGAATGGACAAAAGGCTTCTGAAAGAGTCTGCACTTGGCACTAGCTGTTTTGCAGGCCCACAAGCAGTTTGACAGGGAAAAACATAAGTATGCAGATAGAGTATAAACCTGCTTTGTATTTGGACTGAGCAATATGTCAGGTCTCATTCAAGAACAGAGAAAAATGGGAAAGAAGTAGATGTATTTTTTTAAAATCTCCTATAGCGTTTTCCTGTACCAGGCACTGTTCTCAGTATAGTAACTCATGTAATATCCACAATAACCCTGTCAGTTAATACTTAATTTCATATACCAGTAGTTCAGGATACATGAGCTCTGACTCCACTCAAGAACAGCATCTTAGACTTTTGCCTGTATTAAAATTATATTTTTGTTTGTCTAGCTTTATTTTAAGGTCTTAAATGCTCAATTGGTAAGAAATCCATTCTTTTAAAAATTCCAGGCCTTTTGTAAACAATATTGAAACCGGAAAAGACTCAGACTAGAGTCTTTGTGTTTATATGCTGCTTCCTTGCCTGTTCTAAGTGGTAGCTTTTACTGTTTGTGGGGAATTTTCCAGGAAGCTCAAGTAACTACAGCTTTTCTATTCTGCTACATCTCCAGTGAGTCTTCACTGGTCTTTATATTGGTGCACCAAGTAGCTCCCTGTCCTCTAAGCCTTTTACTTAGCTCTGATTCACAGATTACCGCCCAAGTAACAAATTAAGCATTGAAAATATGACTTCCAAAGACTCGTTAGAAATCTGAGGCAGGGGTTGGTTATGGTACAGGGAAGCAATTTAAATAAAGGTTATTTTTCCATGGTGGCCTCACCAGTGTGTACTCTGACCACTGACAAAAGTGACTGCACTCGAGAGAAGAAATATATTCCAAGAATACTGCAGTGTTTTTTGTGAAACTGTTTTCCTATACTCAAAGATATTTTCCGGTATGTTCAAATTAAAATATGCGAAAGGTGATTAAATGTTAAATAACAACATCAGGAGTTTTGTGTCCAAGTAAATGATGTCTCTGGTACCAGAAGCCAGCATTTAAAGGTGTGGATGACATGGCACCAGAAGGATTGTGGGCTAAGAAACAGATATTGAAAGTCTAGGGACTTTTCAGTTTTGAATTATGGACTAATTAGTGACTAATAGATTAATGTAAAGACATATTGATAATAGGAAATTTTCAGTTACTTTGATTCACTTTTCCTAATTTTATTCTGCCTCCTAAGAGAACTACCTTGAGATTTAAGTATGGGAAAAACAGGTTTTTGTCCATGTCTGATAGAACAAAGATTAAGTACTTTTAATATGTAAGTTACTTAATAATGATGTAATTATTAATATTTATAAAAGGGGACTGACAGTGTGGTTTTGGATTGTTTTTCTTTTTGGGGGCACCTGTCTCCCTGAGCCCAATCAGCATTTTCTCTGGCGTGCAGAGGAGGAAGCAGCCCTTCCTCCCGAGTCTGTGCTGTGAGGAAGTCAGGGATGATAGTGGTATCTTTGACTCACGTCTTTAAATGGCCTTCCTCCGATTCTTCATAGGTCCACCGGAAAGGAGTTTGCCCTGAAGATTATAGACAAAGCCAAATGCTGTGGAAAGGTACAGTATACACAACTGCTCTGTAAAAGAAACTGAAACCCCTTGGTAAGATGTTTACTGTGCTGAATGCATTTAAGTGGGGATTTGACACGACCGTAACAGGAATGAATCTCTGATAACAGTGGGGAAAACATGATCAAGCTTCC